GAAAGACACACATGCTGCTGAAACACAGACAACTTCTGCTTAAACACACAACTGAAGCTGAAACACATAAGTCCAGCTGAAACACACACCTGCTACTGAAACATACACCTGTTGTTGAAACACACACCTCCTGCTGAAATATACATTTTAAGCTGAAACACACATCAGCTGCTGAAACCACATCCTGCAGCTGAAACACACACCTGCTGCTGAAACATACACCTTCTGCTAAAACACACACCTGCTGCTGAAACCACATCCTGCTACTGAAATACACACCTGCTGCTGAAACACACACCTGCTGCTGAAACGCACCTGCTGCTGAAACACACACCTGAAGCTGAAACACACACCTACTGCTGAAACACACACCTGAAGCTGAAACACACACCTGCTGCTGAAACATAAACCTGTAAATCCTTCTCTGACATCATTAAGGTATGTCTTCTTCTGTGGTAGTAGAAATGTGGTCCAGAATCATTTGAAACTTCTGGTTTTGTTTAATCTTACTGGTTCCCTCTTCCCCTGTCACATATCATAATCTGTGTTTTTAATTATTTTTCCTTTTTGTTTTATTTTGTTTAAAGACAATGTAAAAACCAAAGGAGAGCTAAACTGATCATCCTGCAGAACCACAGACTCAGAATATGTGTACATGGAGAGATGAACTATGACAGAATCTTGAAGGTTTGGTTTCATTACAAACAGTCAAGGAGGCTTTAGACAATGAGACTGTTTGGTTGTGATGATTTATGATTGTTTTTGCTGTTACTGCTTCTTTTGGATCATACCTTCTCCTCCCTTTCCCACACAATTGCACAAATAAAAAAAATCTGAGGGAAGTAGAAAAGCTGTGGAGGCTTCTTGGGAGTTTTTCATATCACTATTCTGGTTTTGAGATTTCCTGTGGTTGCTTAGCAACAGCCTGCAAAGTTGACAAAGTATGAGAGAGTGCTCTGCAGTGCATCTACTATTACATAACAAAGTATCCCTGCAGTTTTCTGAAACACAGACTTGATTTCTTCCTTCAAACACCAGGACACAACGAAACACCAAGAACATGCATCAACTCAAACTGCGGCAGGTAGAACACTTTCTGAAGTTCATTTTCTCTCCTGTCAGACAAGGTGAGTCAGAAACCCTTGCAGAGTGGCCCACGTCTCTTCAATCAAACCCTGTTTCCACCAAAGGGATCCAGCATTTACAGCAGAACTTCATTCATACACCATAAACCCACTGCAGGCACAGTAAAAACAGGGATGGCAACGTTCCAAAAACATCAAGAAATTAATAAAACCAACAAACCTCAGAAGTCTGCTGGCGTCCAGCAGCTGAAAGATCTGATAGAAACCTGGACACAAGGTTGGACCATAACGAAAGTAAAACCCTGGACCTGCTGTATACTAATGTCAAGGAAGCATAAAGTGCCATAGCTCTACCCCTTTGGGCAAATCAGACCACAACTTAGTCCACCGCAAACTGCATCCCTGCAATACAGTGGCAGCCATTGACCACGAAAACTGTACAGAGGTGGCCACAGGAGGCTAATGCCCCTTTTCCATAGTACCTCTTAGTACTGGTACAGCACGGTTCTACTTGGCTCAGTATGGTACACATTGTGTTTCTATTATGCTTTCAGTACCAATTCCAGTGGGCGGGGTTCAAATTAACGTCATGCACCTTACCAGTTGGTGGGGTCATTCTGGTGGTAAAACCCTGAAACCGGTTTCATATACAGGGGTGAGAATTTATTTTGAAGTTACTGGTAAATTATAAAGAATACAGATTTTTCATGCATCCATCCATTTTCTTCCGCTTATCTGGGGTCGGGTCGCGGGGGTAGCAGCTTAAGTAGGGAGGCCCAGGCTTCCCTCTCCCCAGCCACTTGGGCCAGCTCCTCCGAGGGGATCCCGAGGCGTTCCCAGGCCAGCCGAGAAACATTGTCCCTCCAGCATGTCCTGGGTCTTCCTCTGGGTCTCCTCCCGGTGGGACGTGTCTGGAAAACCTCACCAGGGAGGCGTCCAGGAGGCATCCTAAACAGATGCCTGAGCCACCTCAACTGGCTCCTCTCAACATGGAGAAGCAGCGGCTCGACTCTGAGTCCCTCCCGGATGATCGAGCTTCTCACCCTATCTCTAAAGGAGAGCCCAGACACCCTGCGGAGAAAACTCATTTTGGCCGCTTGTATCCAAGATCTCGTTCTTTCGATCACAACCCAAAGCTCATGACCATAGATGAGGGTGGGAACGTAGATTGATCGGTAAATTGAGAGCTTCGCCTTTTGACTCAGCTCTCTCTTCACCATGACAGACCTGTACAGCGCCCGCTTCACTTCAGATGCTGCACCTATCTGCCTATCGATCTCACGCTCCATTTTTCCCTCATTCGTGAACAAGACCCCAAGATACTTGAACTCCTTCACTTGGAGTAGGACCTCCTCCCTGACCCGGAGAGGTTCCCACCCTCATCTATGGTCACGAGCTTTGGGTTGTGACCGAAAGAATGAGATCTCAGATACAAGCGGCCGAAATGAGTTTTCTCCGCAGGGTGTCTGGGCTCTCCCTTAGAGACAGGGTGAGAAGCTCGATCATCTGGGAGGGACTCGGAGTAGAGCCGCTGCTTCTCCATGTCGAGAGGAGCCAGTTGAGTTGGCTTGGGCATCTGTTTAGGATGCCTTCTGGACGCCTCCCTGGTGAGGTTTTCCAGACACGCTGGAGGGACTATGTTTCTTGGACCATATAAAGTACAACTGGACTATAGAAAGTACACCTGGACCATAGAAAGTACACCTGGAGGACCATAGAAAGTACACCTGGACTATACAAAGTACACCTAGACCATAGAAAATACACCAGGACCATAGAAAGTACAACTGGACTATAGAAAGTACAGCTGGACTACAGAAAGTACACCTGAAATATAGAAAGTACACCTGGACTATAGAAAGTACACCTGGACTATAGAAAGTACACCTGG